TCTACTGCAAATAAAGTACTAGTCTGTTACTACCACCAGCCCTGTGTCAGCACTTAAAATTTTGAACCGCAGACAGCATTAAAATATGACAAACACTTACTACTACTTCCTTGACTCTCAACTATATGAGAGATGTGCATACGAAGTTTGAAAATCAGAGAGTGTTTGGAAGTGTTCCTGTGTGGGGGGTCTTTCAGGTACACGTTTAGCAGTGATATGCAGTAAAAATTGAGTTGTCAAAAAATCCTGGGGTGACATTTTCCAATTTTGGACACACATGGAATATGAGTTTTCGATGCAACGCGCACCCCTCTAAATTATGACCCCTGCCCTACTGTACGGTACGGTTTAGTAACGGTATGTTTGTTATTGCTTGTGAGGCTAAATCACGACTAGCACTGCATACATTCCTTCGAAGTAAATCCTAAAATAGTACTTCAAAACTTCTTGCTGACACCAGCAACAATCAGTGAGGATCAACACACCCACAACAACATCTAAACAGCACTCTGTCCTCATTACACATAAACTGGCACCAACACTAAATAACAAAACAACACAAAACCATACTACTATCACCAAAGAAAATAAACTCCTCCTCAAACAATGGGCCAACCACAGAAACTGTGCACTTCCTACTTCAAATCACCATTGAGTGGGAAGTAGTTACCTTATGAAATCCCCAACACTAAAGCCTGGCAGCACTACAAAAAAGAAAGGTCTGTAACTCAAACAATACAATGGAAATATCCAATGCAAACTACAAGCTCTTGAACTTTTCTTCCCTAGRGACTCCAGCCCAGATATTTTCAACCAAGAAAGAATCTTCCTGTTCAAACCAAGACAACCACAAACTCCTACAGAATATGCTGCATATCTCTGTGTTGTTCACATAATCACCATGAACAATACAGATAAAATAACAGTGCTAGGAGACAATCTCACAGCTCTCATTCATAGGAACCACTTCCATATACCACCCACCAATGACAAAGCCACTGCTTCCTTTCTCYGGTATCAGTACAGCAAAGCTTTCCTGGGGCACATAGACACACTCCTAGTACTCCCAGACAAAGAAACTCCAATGGCCAAGAAGAATCCCTCAAGAAGACAATCATTGCAACTGCTACACACCTCCTAATTGACAGTCCAACAAGCCCACAACAGGAGGAAACTCCCAATCAACCACAAACTGCCATACGCCAACAGGAAGACTAMCCCTCAAACTCCTCTGGACATGAAGCAGATAAGATGGATTCACTCAACTTGATAGAAATTGTACCTAATGACCTCAAGGCACAATTTGCTCAAGAAAGAAAACAGGAAGAGGAAGCCAATGCCATCAGAATTGACAACTCAACCCTGATAGAGTGCCTTCTTAAAGGATTTGACCCTGGATATGAAACYATGGATAATGAACTCCAATTCCTGAGAAACAGCTTTGACTCCAGAACCCAAACCTCTTCTAATCTGAACAGCAAAGACCCATAGCAAGAAGACCTACCACAAGATATGGAAGAGATAATCCATTCACTCACAGCACAACTCCAAGTAAATGATGACAAATGGACCAAATGCATTGCAACTCTATTAGACACCTGCCTTACTGCAATTCAGGGTGAATACAAGACCACTAACAAAATAACCACACAAAAAAACTCTATCATATGGCTCTTGAGACAGTTTCCTCCCCCCAAACAACAACTCTACAACCAAACAACCTCATTGGATCAAGCATTTAAAGTCAAAACCACACTGCAGMAAGATATTAATGTCACAAAAACACCACATGGGCACTAGACAAGCACACCAAAGCATCYACAGTCTTGTCATCACTCAGAGATAGTAGTATACCAACACTTGCAACAACAGAATCAACCAGCCAGATCACATTTAATCCACACTTATGTCCTATGGGAAAACCATTGAAGAATAAGTCACTCAGACCATTAATGATAGGACAGAGGCAATGGAGGAAACCATCCATCAAATCATCAATGAAAGCTTGAAGAATGAAAACACAGTCATGCAGAGCTTTAAGGACATGGYGATTGCCAAAGCAAAATGTGAAATCAAAACACAAGCAACTGAATCATCAAGTCMAATTCAGGAAGACCTGGGAAGCTCTAAAAACAACATGCAACAGCTGTTCAACAACCACATCAAAACAATGACAACTCACCATCATCAGGATATCACATCTGACCTAGACCTCACAGCCAGCACTGCTGGTGCTCAGAAACAGATCACAGTCACAAAATCCATAGCCAAACCAGACATTGAATGCTCCATAGTAGGATGATCAGTCCAACAACATCTTTAGGCCAGCAATACAGCTAACATATTCACAATCATATCAATGCCAAGCTCACCACAATTGTGTCCTTGGAGTAATTCCACAAAATCTTCAACAACCTTACAAGACTTTATCAAACATCACCAAGTATGCTATGACTTTGTTACACAAGAGGAACTATTCCCTCCACAAAAACTAACCAAACCAACCACAAACTAAACAGGAACCAAACAAAAATACATACAATCCCTGTTGCACCACACCAGCACAAWAGACCCCCTCCCAAGGAAAAAATCCCCTGTCAGGCTCAGATGATGATTCTGAAGGACTCAGAAGATGACCCCATTATGGATGGGCACAGTACAAACAGCTCAGAAAAGGAAAGCAGAACATGCCATTGCAAGAGTGACATCACATTTGTAGCCTACACAAAACACAAGAAACACCTAATGGATGAGGAATTACTACCCACAAACAGAAGCACAGCATCAGCAAGGCCATGCATGCAAGGGATAACAAAGACTCTAATTACAACATTATGCCCACAAMCAATTGTTGACATCTTACCTMACAAGAATTCACAACAATTTAAAACAACTTTCACAACATGATGYGTCTTGAAAGTCTTGTTCCACTATTAGTATCCCCCACTGATCTTCCAAAGTACAAGACTTTCATTCCCCCAAACCACAGGGAATCCACCAATAACATAAAAATATTAGCACTTGCACCACGCCACATCCTCATAGGGACTCATTGCTCTTTATGCTTTCAAACACTTGGGATACAACTTATGGCACAACAGTCCCTGAATTACCTCCACCTGATACAGAACAGAAGGGGTCCAGCATGGGAAGAACAAACTGATGACTCAGGCACCTATGTTGGCAAATTACAGGACTTTGTTAGAAACAGTAGACTTTGCCATCAGCACAATTACACCAAACTAGACCAGAGCTATGAATTTGTGTACTACCAAACAATGAAACTCTACAATTACAGAGTGGGGTACTGCCTCCTTGTTCAGCTCACTGAACACAGACAACTTACCCCTAATGCCACTGACAAACCAGTTCCTGTCCATCTACAACTCATAATGATGATTAGATTTATAATTGACAAGCCAAACATTATAATTGCCCCATCACCAATACCCACCCCTCAAATGAACAGGATGGATAGCCCAACCAACAGATGAAAATTTGAATACAAAAACAAAGTRCAATGCAAACTCTGCCATACATACAGCCATAATATTGGAGACCAAATCTGCAGACTTGGCACTCAACTGCATTTTGCAACCAAATTTGCATCTGACCGCCCCAAGGAATTCAAACACAACATCATTACTACAAATGTCATGCCAAGTGATTGCTGCACTAAGAAAGTGTTTTCCATCTTTAATTCAATGATGCCATCATCCTACAACAAGTGGATGATTTCCTAGTTGTTAATGCCAATGAAAAAAGTCCGTGACAGCATTAAAGTTTCCATGCAATCAAAAATGAGCAACCCACTCAATACATTTGGAACTATACAAAAAATTCAATGGCGTTTGTGTAGATCAAATGAAAATGTTTAATCACTTACAATGTAGTACATACATCAAAAAGTTAGTAGGGCACCATGGATGGACTACATAATCTTATTGCACTCAGAACCAACCTACACCAAATCATGAAGAGTCTGCATATCAATACTGTATCCAAATAGATGAAAGCCCAGACAATCCCCTAGAAGCAGTTAAATTACAACAATTGGAGGGATTCAAATACATACAGTGTATTTGGAAGCTAATCTATGCTCTCAGATTATTTTGCATTTATATCTAGTATAGCAGCAGTTATCACATTGAGCCAACATTCCTATTGCCCTGTCAAATACACTTCAAAGCAGCCAACACCTCTTGCACTACCTCTGAGCAAAGCAAAAAAGGAGGGACTCACATCCAGCAAACTCTTTATTATAAACATTTAGTTATGCAACTATATGGAGTAAATATACAACTTGCATTTCTTACTGTTTGTGCCTTCAGCTTACTAGGGTGAAAAAGAATGCAGTCAGCAGTTTTGAAGTAGTATTAAATAAGACGGCAGAAATACAAGAAGATCTATCTAACCACATACGTACTATTTGCATATGTGGTGATGGAGGTGCGAAGTTGCATAGTTGTGTTGGTTCGAGTAATGCACCAACACACTGGAGCACCATTTTTCCAAATTTTAGTCAGCAATGTACTACCCCAGCCATCATGCAAAATATTTTATCCAATCCACCCCCTGCCTTCATAGACTACTACTATTATATTAATTTTAACACGCATTTTGAAAAGTTATTCGGAAATGGCAACTGAGYGTTGTTCCTAAATTCGAACAAGCTTCCAAAATTACTGCTCAGAAGTGATTGTCTCCAATTCGGCCTAATAAWATTGTGGTAGATCATAAGACACGGAGTACACGTTGATACTGTTAATAAGAAAAGACACAAATGATTCATAATTCAATCTTCTTTGGCATAGATCATTTGACACTTTACTTAGCTGGTGGAACGCAAGGATTGCCCCACATCAGTTTTGGATCGCGTAGATTGCCCGAAACCAACTGTGGAACGCAAGGATTCCCCTATGTCAGGATACTGAAACTTCGCTAAATTCTTTTTTATAAGGGAAGCATCACTTTCGCGCTGTAACACAGAAGTTCGATCAGAGATATACGCGATATCATCCGCGGTAAGTATGCCATTGTTAGTTTTGTCGAGGTGGTGGAACAAGTCAAAGATCTCGTCGATGTCAGACTGTTCGACCTTTTGCAGAGTTGTCAACATGAACACAAGGAACTCGTACTTTGTAACTTCAGAGTCACCGTCCAAGTCCATCTTTTTTATGTCACTGACGGATAAAGCCCGTGCGAAAAATTCTGCTTCCATTTTATCGTTTCTTTGGTCAACGTAAAAAGTGGCTATTCTACCCAACATTGTACCGGCAAATGCAACAACAGCGGGTATATAGAAGATGCACATGACCTTGCTCCAATCACTTTCGGGATGCTCATCTCCTAGACCAATAGTAGTGCCAGTAACGACCAACCAATACACTGATCTGATAATACTCCAATTCTCCAACATCATTATTGGGGAACCAAGAACAGCCAAGGTAATAATATTCGGCGTTTGTTCCCTCGCAATGTTAAAAACATCAGCAAGAAAGGAGCAACCATGCTCAATTTTCTCTTCTTCGATCTCCCCTACCGGTATAATCGATGAAAATGATTGACGCAAACTGGGACGCACTGAATTGCTGATGATTGATGTYATGTATGATTTCCTCGTGTGCTCCAGAACCTCGTTTTTAAGTTTTTGTTGCCTCTCTACAGCCATCTCGCCCAATATCCCCAAAAATATGCCAAGAATTACAATGCCATAGAGTGCAAAGAATAAGGTGAAAATCATTCCAGCAGCACTCGAATTGGGGCATAAATCTCCATATCCTACAGTGGTAAAAATAACCACAGAAAAGTACAACGAGTCGATTATCGACCACTGAGTATCGAGGAGAAATGAATACCCAACAACACCAAGTGACATGTAAACAATTGTGTGAAAAAATGCTTGATGAATCACATCGGAGGAATCAGACCAGGTCTCGTAAGCATCTCCCAATCCAGGCGAGGAAGAGGAGTCACTTTCGCCTTTTGGTTGACTTTGACATATCTCCTCTCGGGGATCTCTGTCGCTATCCATGCTCGGCGTTCCCTCGTCAATGCTATGAAGCAAAGGGGTTGAGCTGTTGGGTGGATTCCTCATGTCATGGATTGTACGATTAAAAAATACTATTGCTTGTTGATCTTCAGAATCACGAACAATTTCAGTGTCAACACAAAAATATTGCTTTCACGTTCCGGTATCTTTCTGCAAGTCAACGGACGGAAAAACRGAGAAGAAATGTTTTTGGATTTACCGTGGGGGTATTCGACCATAATGCAACAAAAAATGCAACAGTAGGAAATCATGTACAATTCTACGTACGTGTATATTGTACTGATTTCTGCTGCCGGCATACCATCACAGTCAGTAGAGTAGAGCAAAAATTCGCCGAGTCGGTGCTAACAAGTCAGTCGATTGAGCAGAATTACTTTCATTTACAAGCTAAAGGCAAKTTCCATACTAAACAGACATATGATGGAGGTAATTCTTGACAATAACAGAAATATATTACTATTATGACATTATTCTAAGMTCTTAGTAGAGGGGGAGGACAAGTAGTTACTAGTACTACTAGCAGCTACCACCAGCACAGCAACTCATATCACCAGCGGACACCGTATCAGCAGCAAGCCTCCGTATCAGCAGTGGAAGCCTCCATATCAGCAGAAGCCTCTGTATCAGCAGCTCATCCATATCAGCATCCTCCATATCAGCATCCTCCGTGGTATCACTGGCTCATATCAGCRACTCGTATCAGCAGCTCCTCCGTATCACCAACTCCTCCATATCAGCGACTTGTATCAGCAACTCATATCAGCGGCTCGTATCAGCGACTTGTATCAGCGTCTTGTATCAGCAGCACTTAACA